ATTGACGCAGCTGCGGTGCTTGGTCGCCCTGGACGAAGGGATGCTCGCGAAGGGAATGGCGTGGGAGCCCCATGTGCCGAGGGGATGAGGTGGCCAAGGTGGGAACGCTTGGAGTGATGTTTTGGAGAGGAGGTGGAGAGAAACCTCTCAGCTGAGGACTCTCAAAGAGCAGACACGGAGGCCTGAAGAAAAATGCGTCTGGCTCCCACTGTGTCACTTACACGCCTCATGTTTTTCAAGAAAATTGAAGGGGATCTAACGTATTTCTTAGTTTATTTGTAAGCCAACAGTAGCCCAGCCCAACCGACCAACCCAGTGTGGAACTGTGGATGCTGATCCCGTGGATACAAGGGTCCTACTGTACTGTCTACAGACATAACCATTAATTTCCCTGATTCACATACTGTGTAAATTAATGGTTGTTGTGGGTTTTTCGGGCTTCTTGGCCGTGTTCTGAAAGTGGTTCTTCCTAACGTTTCGCCAGTCTCTGTGGCTGGCATCTTCAGAGGACAGTAAATTAAGTTTGCACGGTACACAGTTTAAACTGCCCGAATTTGGAGAACTAGCATATGGCAACTCTACTGATAGATCTTTTATCCACATCCTTGCCCCGTTCATATGTAAAGCCAGGGGTTAGCAGGACGTCTGTTCTTTCACAAAACTCCCTATGTGGGGAGGGGGATAAAATCATCCTTCCCTTTAGGTGTTTCTATCCCATGGACAGTGTAACTTTCAAGAGGAAATTACTGTAACTGGAGAAGTGAGTGTAAGCATTTCCTGTCGGGTGACTTGTGTGTTAAGACACTACCTACGCTGACTTCTTAACCTGTGGCAATTTGCAGCTGAATGTTACGCCACTTGCCGTTGTTCTGGTGGAAATATGCACAAAGATTCTAGCCATTACATTCTGTAAACAGCTCATAGTTAAATGTCAACACTTAAAGATGGTAATTTAGCTCAGTATCTTCCTTTGTGTTTTGGGGGTTATCCCGGAAAGAACAAGATTATAGTATCCACATATTTGTGTTTTTTTTCTCCCCTTTCCTCCTCTTCTTCTCCTTTTTTTCCCTTGATTATTTTTGCAGGGTCCCGGAACATCTTGTGAAGAGCATAACTTGGCAGACGCTTCAAGCTGTGAATTTCTGCCACAAACACAATGCAAGTAGCTCAGTTTTTCTTTTCCCTCCGTCTGCTTTGTTGCTACGGAGCAGCCTTCCCCTCCCAACGGCCCATCGGATCTGTTGCACTGCAATTCCCATCCTGCCGATGATGGGTGCTTGTAGTCCACCACATCTGAAATGCACCTGGAGGGGTAAGGCTGCTCCCCTACGCTTGCTTTGAATCCTCCTTTATTCAATAACACCTTTCTCCTTTCCAAAGAACCTCTGATCTGCAGAAAGGTTTCTGTTAACATCTCTGAAAATATATCACCCGTATTTTTATTGCAGGCCTCCATTGTTTCTTTACAGGAAAGGGCTTAAATTCAATGCGGCCTCTCTCTTTATTCTTGGAGGGCTATGTTCTTCAGAAGATCTTTAGGAGATAAGAAGCATATCTTCCCACATTAATCAAGCCTCACCCCCTATAAACACAGAGGGTCCAAAAATCTGGGCGTCCACCGGGAGAATCCAAGATTCCTAGAACTGGAGTTTGCTCTGGTTCAACATATGGCATATAAATATGTCCAGTAAGATCTTCTCTCAGACTCAGATGTATGTTAGTTATAAAAAAGTGAGAACATTGCAGGGCTGTTTTTGTTGTTGTTGTTGAACCGCTTTTCTACAACATCGAATGGTTGGCTCATATTCAGCTTTTGATCTACCACAATTCCAAGATCCTTCGTGAGAAAATTGGGCCACCCTCCGTCCGATCTGTTTTGATTTGGAATTCCTGCCTTGAGCAGGGAGTGGGTTGGACTTGATGGCCTTTTGGGCTCCTTCCAACTCCATGATTCTAGGATTCTACAAAGGACACCAAGATTTTTAAACGTACCTTCGTTAAAAAAAAAAGCGTGAAGGGAACCATTGTCTTAAAGGTCAGATCTTCGCTGCTCTGTGGGAGCCATGTCTGAGTTTCATTCGTCATCCATCAGGATGTGAAAAATTAAAATCTTGCATTTAGTAAAGTGGGGTGGGGTTATTGTCTGACTCCTCTGGAATCCAGATGCTGATGATTAGAAGCAGAGTTAGTGTGGGGTGGTGGTGGTTTGGAGAGAAGATTAACGGAGAGGTTAAGTGTTCACTTCTTTGTCTTTCCCAAATGCACGAAGAATTCCAGTCTTTCCCCAATTTTGAAGGAGGCCAACCTATGGAAAAAACAGGGTCTCGCTTGCAAGTGGTCTGGTGGCAAATTTGGAAGCACAGATATTTGTCATGATAATCCCTATAGCCAACCTCCCCTCCCCAATAGGGAGACTCCTGAAATATGCAGGTCCTTGGATCGCTTCCTCCCAACGCGTGGGGAAGCAAGTCTTTGAATCATGGATTATTTATTGTTTATTTATTAATTGCGTACCACCCAGTAGCCTTGCTGCTTACTCTGGGCGGTCTCCCGCAGTAAAATAAGCAGGCAAAGAACAGCCAAATCCCACCCAAACCCAAAATATATGTGATATTGGACAAAATAAAGGTTACAGGATGTAATTGTCAATATAAGACTGAATGGCCCACAATTATAAGGGGAGGCTGCTCAGGCTTTTAATGGCCCATTCAAGACCAAACCACCCTCGCCTATTTTGCATTGCAATGGGTTCGCTTGAAACAAATATCCTGTTTCTGGGTATTGCAAAGAATGGAAAGGATGCGGGGGAGGGGTATTGGTACCCCTGGTGGTTCACATGAGGCTTAAACCAAGTGGCGCATTCGTGATCTCTTGTTTGACGGTGTCCTTCCTCCCCCCCCCCTCGTGTCCAGTGCATACACAGAGATGTGAAGCCGGAGAACATCCTCATAACGAAGCATTTTGTCATCAAGCTCTGTGATTTTGGATTTGCTCGCATTTTAAGTAAGTGTATGGATCCGAATTCAGCAATCTGTCTAGCTGACTGGGTTCCCCCTCTTCTCCAGCTACCCCTCTCCTCTCTGGACGTTTGCAGAACCTTTTAAAAGAGATTGAGGGAGATGGAAGGGGAGGTAAGAATGGGTGTTGCTCAGAGCCTCTCGCTATGGAGCCGGGCGTCAAACCTTGGTATCCCCCCCATCTGCATTCCAAGAAAGTGGACAGCTGAGATCACCCATCCAGGTCATCTACAGATGATGATGTTGCATGCCTGGCCACTTGTGTGGCCTTCAGCAAACGGCACGGGGATCCCGCTGCACCCCCCCTCCCAGAAAGAAGGGCTGGTAAATCACTTAGGAATATTTTTACCTAAAAATCCAGGGAAGGAAATCGACTGGACGGTCCATAATTATTAAGGAGAAGGGCAGGAGAGGTACTGCAGCTTGATCAGAATTTCATTTCTCTGCTGCTGGACAGAACCATCTTTATGCTTCACGATCAACTGTCAAAATGAGACTTCTAACATTTCCATATGCTCTGTGTATGTTGCACATGCGTGTACTTCCACGCACTTGTGTGTCCCCCCGTGTGAATTACAATCACGATTTGAAATATGCCCTTTGTACATGACATAGAGACATCGATGGAGTGATTTGTCTAGATGTTGGGATATCGAGAAATGCACACCTATACATATTATACGGTAGGACACCCCCCCACTACCCAGGGTATCAGTATCCACTGATTCATTTATCTGCTGCTTGAAAATACTAAATTAAAAACCCTCTTATATGTAGTGTTTGTAGAAGGAGTTGCTGTGTTAGTCTAGGCCAGCGTTATAGGTGAAAACAAAATAAAAATTATAAAAAGACTAAAACATGGTGGCCCTTTAAAGAACCAACCACCCGTTGGGGTCAGAGATTATGCCATGCCTAGCGTTTGAAACGTCGGCGTTTACAGCCCATCCCTGTTCATTTCAAGGAAATGTAGTCCCAGCTGCAGAATCTCACCACCCAAAAAGCAGAAAATCTGAGGTGCAGCCACTGCAGAAAGAGCCTGTTAAAAACAAGCCTCTTATAATGCCCGGGTTCCCTATAAAAGCCAATTTTATTTGCTCTTATAAAGGCAAATGGCATTTCCTTTGGGAAGCCCAGTTCAAAACACACATAGCTCTCTGCACACCACGAGGCTAAAAGGTGGGTGTCTCCTGCTCCGTGTTTATGGATTTATTTTTCTTGTACTCTCGTTCGCCTTGCTGGGAAGGGACGTTGGCGAACGGGGAGTCGCTAACTGATCCTTCTCCTTTCTCCTTTCCTTTCTTTGTGATCCTTCCCGGGGACATTCTCTCTCCCCCCTCCGCCGCCTTCCCAGCTGGGCCCAGCGATTATTATACCGATTACGTGGCCACGAGGTGGTACCGTTCCCCGGAGCTCCTCGTCGGGGACACCCAGTACGGCCCCCCCGTGGACGTCTGGGCCATCGGCTGCGTCTTTGCTGAGCTTCTGTCGGGAATCCCACTGTGGCCGGGGAAATCGGACGTGGACCAGCTTTACCTCATCAGGCGGACGCTGGGTAAGGAAACGAGGGGCGCTGTTCTCGGCATAAGACTGCCCTGTGGGGGGCCTGCAGGATGCCGCGCTTCCCCCCCCCATGTACACCTTTCCTCCATAAAGTGTTCTGCGCACCGTCTGTCTGAAACATCTCTTGCACAAAAGGAAGGGTCGGGTCTCCATCCCCCACCCCCAAAAAAACCATTGGGGGGAGTTGCATTTTTAGGAAACTCCCCCCCCCACCTGAGTAAAATGGAAGTCCTACCTTGTCCAAATTCTTAGTGTGATGTAATGGGTAGAGTGATGGACGAGGACTCTGCAATCACCGCATGGCCATGGAAACTCCCTGGGGGTGTAGAACTGGTAAAACCAACCCTGAAATAGCTCACGTACCCTGAAAGCCCTATTAGGGTTGCTGTAGACCCCGAAATACAGTAGCTCACGTACCCGGAAAGCCCTATTAGGGTTGCTGTAAGTCAGTTCCGACTTGACGGCAGATCACAGACACACCCCTTGTTGTTCCAAGGTGACAGCTTTCCCTCTAGATCCATGTACAATTTAATACTGCAATTTATTAGGAGTGGATGCTTTCCCCTTTTTCTTCTGACTGTACTTCTAGGGCTGAAAATTATTCATTCAGCACCTTATTCAAGGAGTAGCAAGCCCAAGCCAGCTCATGTATTGTATTGGCCATGCTTGCTGCAGCTCAGCAATATGTGCTCGATCGTCCTTGCCAGTGCTCAGATGGTCTTTCCTCCACCTTGGCTGCTGGATCTTAAGCAGGCTGAGCCCTTTTGCCAGATGACCCTCTGGCCTTGCTTTGTACAAACCACTGATGTTCTTGGATTCTCCATGGCAATTCCCCTCTTCCTCCTCACCGGTGTGATATTGCGTTTCATTTTAGTCCTGTTCTATAACATGTGAAGTGTGGTTTACCTGTTCTTAAAGCGTTTACAGAGGGGTGGAGACAAGAGCCAGCTGACAACCCTGGTGGCCCAACCACGGCTGCTCTAGAGTAACTTCACCTCCTGCTGAAGATCAAGCAAATGGCATGGCTGTGAAATCTAAAACCCTAGGGTTTTTGTGAGGTCTGCTTTCCGAGTCTGAAGGCAACAATGAAAAGATTGTTCCAGGCTATCTGTTTTTGGCCGGCATCCTCCTGCGTAGTTCTGCCTGCACAATGGGAACGTAGTCATTAACAGCCGCTGATGGTGGCTGACGAAGGGCTTCCTTATTTGATTTCAGGGGGTGTGACTTTGTCCCATTGCCTGTGAATCATGTGCACCCTCAATTTTTTTTTAAAAAATGGAATCCTTTAAGGGGTGGCAGTTTTCTGCCAACAGTGATGTCATTCCCCCTCGGAGGCAGAGCTCTGCAACAGGATGTGGCGGGTCTTTGGCGTAACAACAGCAAAGGGAAGAAAAAGGGAACACTGGTGTAGCCACTCTGGAAGACAGGCTTTCCCCCCCTACCTTGGGAAGAAGTGTTGGGCCAGCTGTCTAGGTGTATGTGCTTCTTTTGTGCAGAGATGTTGCGCTTCCTTTCCTGTGCTGTGCCAACCGGAAGAGTCTTTATATGGTCTTGCGGCTGCTGCTGCCAGTGGCCCCTTTGGGCTAACGGTCTTCTGCCTTTTCTCCTTGTTCGAAGGGGATCTCATTCCGAGGCACCAGCAAGTTTTCAGCACCAACCAGTTCTTCAGCGGGGTGAGGATCCCAGACCCAGAAAGCATGGTGAGAGAACTTTTCCCCGGCCTCCCTGACATCCTGCACAAATGTCTCCTCTCTCTGAAGATGGGGGTCCTCGAGTCCCCTGGGTTTTGTTTTGCTTCTCAATGCATTTTCTGGCAAAAGGGCTGGCGTTTTATGAGGGTTTTTTGTCTCGAGGTCCACAGAAAGGTTACCTTTGCGTAACAGCCGCTTGGAGACGCAGAGCATTGCTGGGGAACGGACAGTTGGCTAAATTATGGCTGGGTCTGAGAGAAGGGGCTCTGGAGACACGTAGCCATGGGGAATCCAAAGACTGGCATCCAAATGGAGAGCGCGCGTGGGGCGGGGGGGGAGGATGACGGTTGGAAACGGAACAGAAAGCTGCAGGCTAGTGGAAGACTTAAGCGACATTTTGTTTAAGCCTCTCATCATTCCTGGGAGCCATTCCTTCAAAGAGTGTGTGTGTGTGAGTGTGTTTTTACTGACCGAGTCTCCTGGCGCAGTGGTTTGACGGCAGGACTGCAGCCAAAAAAATCTGCTCACAATTGGGATTCAATCCCCGATAGCCCTCTTGAGGTTCACTCAGCCTTACATCCTTCCAATGGTTGGTAAATTGAATACACAGTTTGCAGTTGATGGGGGAGGAAATACATATCCTGCATCATTAAATTGTCAACTGCCCAAGAGTGCTTTAAGAGCCATCGAGTGGTACCGAAGCAGAGCACTTTGCTTTGTGTTTTTTTTCCTTTATGGTGTGCGTCTGTGTGATGCCTACCTCTGTGAGAGACGCCTCCGTCTCATTCCTGCCCTGAAATGCCTGGAGAAGAATTCAAAGCAGTGAGGGGACGTTGGGTGCTTCCAGATCAGGAGAGGGCAAAAGGCAACCCTTCAAATGTTTTTGGACTACAACTCCCATGTTCCCTAGGTAGCATAGCCAAAGGTGAGAATGCTGGGGGTTGTAGTCCCAAAAAACATCTCGAGGGTCACCCGCGGCTAACCCTGTTCTAGATGGAATGTTCCTGTCGCTTGCCATGAAAAGGCAGTCAGACAGCTGTTTCGGTTTTTTTCCCCCCTGAAACTTTTTTCTCTGCAAAAAAATATACAGTAGACGGCAAGCACAAAGGGAAAACATGGGATGGGTGTGTGTGTGTGTGTGTGTGTGTGTGT